CAACCGTCTTTTTTTTATACAGTATATAGAAGATTAATGATTCATTTATAAAATAAAATAGAATCGATGATTAAGAAAATTGTTTTAGACTCATCATGGGCTACTGTATCCCAACATACTTTTTGTTGATTAAATACACATATTTTGTAACTAACTGAAGTACATCAAAAAAATAAATCTAATCTTTATATATATAATTACAAGAGCCAAATATATAGAATTAAAAAGGTTAAAAAGTAGTTATACTATACAAAAAAATGAATAATAAATAATTATTTTATTATAAAAAAAAATATTTGGTTATTTAGATAACATCTCACAAAGTTTTAAACAAATATATTTATTTTCAAATAGTGACCATCCAAATCAAAATGGTTGTTTTCATATTCATACAATTCAGATCAGAGAAACAACTAATTATATTTCAAGTCAATTATTATTTTGTATTTACAAAGAATTGGTTGATTTTGTCAAACATAAATAATAATTTATTAGGTAATCAAATTATTTATCTCTAAATCTAATAAATTTTTAAAACCAAAACTCATGCATCGCGCGAGTCATATTCTAATACTATATATTATACAATTTATTTTATAACTAAGTTTATCAAATATTAGTGATATAAAATGCGAGTATTTACAGGTCGGATAGCAAATCGAGTACGAAGATGGGTAACGAGACGGGTAGTGAAAAAAATTATACCATGTACCCGATCCTTACCCGCGGATATCAAAATTATAGTATCCGTTACCTGACTCGACCGTTAGGGGTACCATATTTTTCGAGACGAGTACGAGCCGGGTAACGGGTAAAAGACGGATAACAAATATCTGTGCCCAGCCCCTAGGTAGGAGGATATAAGTATAATGTGTTTGATTAGTAACAAACATAATAAGCTTACGGTCATTTTACGTTTTATATTGTACTAATCGTAAAAATAATATCAAAAACTTTACCAAAATCATTACAGCTTTATTCATAAAACTTTTTCTTACAATTATTTTTTCACCTTTACACTATGTTCTAACAGTTTAAAGCTCTAGATTACATATGAAAAAATTATATCGCTTTAGGTTACCAATCGAACCCAATTGATATATATATCTTTTCAGCTTATTGCTATATAAACTTAAAACCGCTCAGAAATCCAAACCGCTTGAATAAAGTTTACATAAATATAATTAATAGGTAAAGTTTGAACACTTCGTGCTAGTTTATTCGTCTTTTTTGTCACAAGTTTATTCATCTTTATATTTTGTGTTTTTGATATAATAATTTAGCTAATTCTTTTTCTTCAATTACATGATCACAAAATATCATCAGTATTACCTATTTTATCATTTAATATGAAAGAATATAACATCATAACTTCTGTTTCTAATTGAAATGTTAATCATGGACACTGAAGAACACAATTAGAGTCGGTCATGACTTTAAGTTAGTCAAGTAAGTGTTTGGGGCCGACAAACACTATTAATTTTAGGAACCGTTTTTTTACCAAAAAAAAATCTGTAAATCTACTGGTGCATGGTTTTGCTTTGTGAAATGCAGGTCAAGGGTTCGAATCAATCAAAATATTTATTTGTTTATCATTTTATATGAATAGTTTTTTTTTTCTTTTGATAAATTTTTTATATGAATAGTTTATATTTAATCGACCAACAAAAATTATGTGTGGAACCCTCAAATGTTTGCATTACGTTAGAAATTTACAGTAATTATGTTTCCATTAATTTTCATAGTTTATATCCAATGTAGAAACATTTCGATCACTAAACTAATGAGATTCCCACAATAGTTTGGCCATGTTCGTTTCTGTTGCTGGACTCAGCT